TCCCTATTCTGACTTGCCTGCTTTGCATGCCTATTCCGTCTTATGTGGCCAGTTTAGACGTAGCCCCAGTGTGTGCCCATCTATTGCCATCTCCCGTAGCCTGCACCGCTCTCTGTTCCATTCCTCCTCTGTCTCGTTGTACCGAAAGCCCCGCCTGGTTGTGGGAAATGCACCACACGACATCTTTTGCCTTTGTTCTTCACTAAGGGTGTGTCTAGACTACATGCCTCCTTCGCGGCTTCATTTAAATTTAAATGGCTGCCCCGATCTGCCGATCAGCTGTTTGTCGGCAGACTTCATTTCCCCCTTCCGATCTGGCTAATCTACATGCCTCCGTCGAAGGAGGCATGTAGTCTAGACACACCCTAAGTGTTACAGAGGCACTGCTTGAAATGGGTCTGCAATATGAACTCTTTGTCCAGCAGACTGCTGTATGGCACTGTCCCTTAGTAACCAAGCTGAAGCCATTTCCAAAACTTGCATTCAGGATCATGAAGTCAATTTTGATGCACATGGAAGAGGGGAAAGTGATCAGGAATAGTTAATATGCACTCAGCAAGGGCAGCTCATGCCTGACAGACATGATTTTAACTTCTATGACAAGGAAACTGGCCCTGTGGACATGGGCAAGTTGGTGGATGTGATCTACCTTGACTTTAGCAAAGCTTTTGATACGGTCTCCCATAATATTCATGCCAGCAAGTTAAGGAAGTATGGACTGGATAAATGGGCTGTGAGATGGCCTGAAAGCTGGATAGACTGTCGGGCCCAACAGGTATTAATCAATGGCTTGATATCTGGTTGGCCATCTCTTTCAAGCCGAGTGTTGCAAGGATTGGTTGTAGGGCTGGTTTTGTTCAACATCTTTATTAATGACTTGGATGAGGGGTTGGATTGCACCCTTAGAAAGTTTGCGGATGACATTAAGCTAGGATGAGAGGTAGATAAGTTGGAGGGCAGGGACAGGGTCCAGAGTGACCTAGACAAATTGGGGGATTGGGACAAAAGAAATCTGATGAGGTTCAACAAGGACAAGTGCACTTGGGACGGAAGAATCCAAAGCACTGCAATAGGCTAGGGACCAACTAGCTAAGTAGCAGTTCAGCAGAGAAGGACTTGGAGATAACAGTAGATGAGAAGCTGGTTATAAGTCAGCTGTGTGCCCTTGTACCCATAAAGGCTAGTGTACAGTAGGAGGAACATTTCTAGCACAGCTAGAGACTTGATTATTCCCCTTTATTCATCATTGGTGAGGCCACATCCAGAATATTGCATCCATTTGTGGGCCTGCCCACTTTAGAAAGGATGTGGACACATTCCAGAATGTCCAGCGGAGGGCAACCAAAATGATAAGGGGGCTGGAGCACATGACCTAGGAGGAGAGGCTGAGGGATTTGGGCTTATTTAGTTTGCAGATGAGAAGACTGAGCGGGGGGATTTGACAGCAGCCTTCAACTGCCCGAAGGAAGGTTCCAATGAGGAATGGAGAGAGGCTGTTCTCAGTGATGACGGATGACAGAACAAGGAGCAATGGTCTCAAGTTGCTGTGGGGGATATTAGGGAAAACGATTCCCTGCGAAGGGCGGAGAAGCACTGGAATGGGTTACCTAGGGAGGTGGTGGAATTTCCATCCTAGAGATTTTTAAGTCCCGGCTTGACAAAGCCCTGGCTGGGATGATTTAGCTGGGGTTGGTCCTGCTTTGGGCAGGGGGATGGACTCGATGACCTTCTGAGGTCTCTTCCAACCCTAGGATACTATGATTCTATGATTCTATGTATAATTCTGCAACAATTTCCACAAAGTCTTCAGGAAACAAATCCTCTGGTCTGTGTTTCAGAAAAGAATAGAGCTTAGTCTTCAGGGAATTCTCCACTAGTTGTATTTGGAGACATAGTAATAGTTCAGAATCCCCCCAGGACTAAACACTGGGGCTGTGTCCAGACTCAGGGTTTTTTTCGGGAAAAGTAGCCTTTTTCCGAAAAAACTTCACCTGCGTCTAAACTGCAGCCGCGTTCTTTCAAAATTAAATCGAAAGAACGCAGCTTTTCTTTCGACGGCGGTAAACCTCATTTCATGAGGAAGAACGCCTTCTTTCGAAAGTGCTTCTTTCGAAAGAACGCGTTCTTGAATGTAAATAGGGCTTCTTCGAAAGAGAGCATCCATACTCACTGGGTGCTTTCTTTCGAAAAAGCGGCTTGCTCTTTCGAAAGTTCCGCGTGCAGTCTAGACGCTCTCTTTCGAAAGAGGCTCTTTCGAAAGAGGCTTGCAGTCTAGACATAGCCTGAGGTGTGAATGTGCATGACTCAAATGTACACATTCAACTGGATATTAGTGCAAATTTAGTGTGTGCACTATTCACCCATTTTAGATGTCATCCTATTTCCTTCCCAACTGAAGTATCTTGTTAACATGCCCGAATTCTGCAGATCCTTCCGTGGGGAAAGCTTGCAGGACCTGTGAGGGTGAAGAGAAGCCTGTAGGATCATTGACTCTCTGGATTTAGTGCATAATTACCAGAAAAACACTTCAGTTTCCTTTAGAGGGATTTTGGGGCTCAGAGGGTACCCGTGGGAGCATTTCATAGAATCATAGAATCATAGGACTGGAAGGGACCTCAAGAGGTCATCGAGTCCAGCCCCCCCGCCCTCAAGGCAGGACCAAGCTCCGTCTACACCATCCCTGACAGATGTCTATCTAACCTGTTCTTAAATATCTCCAGAGAGGGAGATTTCACCACCTCCCTTGGCAATTTATTCCAATATTTGACCACCCTGACAGTTAGGAATTTTTTCCTAATGTCCAATCTAAACCTCCCCTGCTGCACTTTAAGCCCATTACTCCTTGTCCTCTCCTCAGTAACCAAGAGGAACACATTTTCTCCTTCCTCCTTGTGACACCCTTTTAGATATTTGAAAACCGCTATCATGTCCCCCCTTAATCTTCTTTTTTCCAAACTAAACAAGCCCAGTTCATGAAGCCTGGCTTCATAGGTCATGTTCTCTAAACCTTTAATTATTCTTGTCGCTCTTCTCTGTACCCTTTCCAATTTCTCCACATCTTTCTTGAAATGTGGCGCCCAGAACTGGACACAGTACTCCAGCTGAGGCCTAACTAGTGCAGAGTAGAGCGGCAGAATGACTTCACGAGTTTTGCTTACAACATACCTGTTGATACAACCTAGAATCATATTTGCTTTTTTTGCAACAGCATCACACTGTTGACTCATATTCAACTTGTGGTCCACTATGACCCCTAGATCCCTTTCCGCCATGCTCCTTCCTAGACAGTCACTTCCCATCTTGTATGTATGGAACTGATTGTTCCTTCCTAAGTGGAGCACTTTGCATTTCTCTTTATTAAACCTCATCCTGTTTACCTCTGACCATTTCTCTAACTTGCTAAGGTCATTTTGAATTATGTCCCTATCCTCCAAAGAAGTTGCAACCCCACCCAGTTTGGTATCATCTGCAAACTTAATAAGCGTACTCTCTATCCCAATGTCTACATCATTGATGAAGATATTGAACAGTACGGGTCCCAAAACAGACCCTTGCGGAACTCCACTTGTTATCCCTTTCCAGCAGGATTTAGCACCGTTAACAACTCTCTGACTACGGTTATCCAGCCAATTATTCACCCACCTTATCGTGGCCCTATCTAAGTATTTAATGAGGGCAAGTTGACAGAGTGCTCTATTAGAATTTACATATGCAAATCTAAATTGATGCCTATTGAACTTAATGTTCACTAGCTCAGTATGTGGTTATTCAAAATAGGAGAAGCCTTGTGACTTTTTACACAAGTCTGAGAGACTAGGCCGGAGGCTCCTTTATGTGCTCTTTATTGTGTGTCAGATTATGTGCATCTGAGAGCACACCATCTCAGACAAACCATCAGGAATAGGCTTTATTTTGCAAAGAACACAGAATAGGATTCCAATCTAGCAGCCTCTTGTCTACTTGCAGCCTATGGGCTCTCAGCTCAGTCCATACTGAGAGAGCAGAGGATACATCCTGTCAGGAACCAGGAAGTTCCCCCAACATCCTGCAGTTTGTAGTCCACAATGTGTAGTTCCCTGGGCTGCTGCTGAAGTACACTGGACCATGGGATACATAAACATCCCATCGTTCAGTAACTAAAAGATTAAACCCAAAACAGTGGATATCTAGGAAGTGTTGGCAGGGAGCCAGGAAAGCCAATGGGAAGAGAGAGAAAGATTTTTGAAATGAAATAAGTTGTTGCTTGTTTCATTCTCCTTTGTATGGGAGTCAGAACAGAGCTAGTGGCGAAATTGATTTGAGCAGGAATAGGGCCTGGATTTCCCAGGAATATCCATGTTTAAAGGAAAAAACCTAAAAATTGCAGCAACAGATGTAAGTAGAACAGGAAATGTTTAGTTAGATGTGATGCGGATATTTTCTTTGTTTCTTTTAATTAGGCTAATCTCCTCTGTGCTATATAGCTATGACGTGACAATGTTCCTTAATAATGTGAGTTTAGAAAGGTTAAATTGTTAAAATCGCACAGATATCAAGTAGGCCGTGGAACTCCCAGCCAAAATATTTCAAATGGGGCAAGTGCTTAGCGAGACAATCAAATTATAGGAGTGAATATTTTTAAAGGGCTTAGAAGGTCTATAAACAGCCCTGATTTACACAGCAAAATAAGTCAAACTTGTGGGTTCCTGGGAACAAGTCGTCTCATAGCTGCCAATGGCAAGGCTTTCTCCTTTTGATTTGCATGTCCAAGTATTAGCCACCAGACATTGGGCTACATGGAGTACAGGTCTCACCTAGTCTGACAGCCCCTAATTTCCTATCAGTGATATAAATCCAAGACTACATTTCAGCTCATCTTCCTGGAGCAACAGGGATTCTCAAGCTTAATGACCTTCCACTTTCTGAGAGCAGAACAATGTCTAATAAAATATTGCTCAGTCTTCTATTTTTTTTTTTCCTCTCAGGAAAATTCAAAACTCCTTGGTCATGCCCAGCACCTAATGGCAGCTGCCAATGATACCAAACTCAACTCAGCAGTGTTTTGTCTTACTGGGATACCTGGACATGAAGACATCCATCTCTGGATCTCTATCCCCATCTCCCTTATTTATGCTATTTCGATAATGGGAAATGCAGTTATTCTGTACATTATAAAAACAGATCCAAGCCTCCATGAGCCCATGTACATTTTCCTTTCCATTCTGGCCATCACAGACCTTGGTTTATCAGTAGCCACCCTACCGACAATATTGCGAGTGTTTTTGTTTAACTCTAGGGAGATCAGCCTCAATGCCTGTTTTACCCAGCTGTTCTTCATTCATTCTCTTTCATTCATTGAATCCTCTGTGCTCCTGTTGATGGCCTTTGACCGCTTCATCGCCATCTGTAACCCACTGAGATACTCTACCATCCTAACCCTGCCTAGAATAGCCAAGATGGGGCTCGTGTTTGTGCTAAGAGGTGTGGCTGTTGTATTGCCAGTCCCCTTTCTCCTGAAACGGTACCAATACTGCCGAACTAATGTCCTCTCCCATTCCTACTGTATGCACCAAGAGGTCATGAAGATGGCTTGTTCAGATATCAGAGTCAACAGCATCTATGGCTTATTCATAATAGTCTCCACTGTGGGGTTGGACTCTCTGCTCATCTTCCTGTCTTACGTGATGATCCTCAAAACAGTATTGGGCATTGCATCTTACACGGAGAGCCTCAGGGCCCTGAACACATGTGTCTCCCACCTCTGCGCCATCCTGCTCTTCTACATACCAATGATCGGCTTGTCTGTGACACACAGATTCGCGGAGCACACCTCTCCCTTACTTCAGATTCTCTTGGGATATATCTACCTGCTGGTGCCTCCCGTAATGAACCCAATCATGTACAGCGTGAAAAGCAAACACCTGCGTGCCAAGCTCATCAAGCTCTTTGTCAAGTGAAGGGTCAGTTCGTCACATGGATCCAGCCCTTGTGGCAAGGGAGTGGCTGAGCTGTGTCAGAGATGTGATTAACACAGGGGGCCTAGAGGAGCTGGAGCCTAGCGGATGTCATTCGCATTTCCATTGATGTCTCTGCACACTACATTCTGGCTGAGTCCATTCCCTGCCAAGGGGGAGCAGAGCTGTGTGTTTGAGGGAGGGTCTGACACACAGGAGTCCTGGCAGGCAACACAAGCCCAGATTCCCTCCCCAGCCTCTGTACTTGTGCTTCCTTAGCACTGCGAAGGGTTGGACATGCTCCTTTTCTCCCCCACAGAGGCATTTCCAACCCCAGTCCCAGCCCTGCCCATTCAGAGTAGAGTGACCACATTTTTAAGAGGCAAAGGTAGGACCCATGTGGGAGCCCCATCCTCTCTTTATCCCCTCCCCTGCCTCCATCATGGCTCTTCCCTCACCCTTTCTCTCCCCCTGAGGCTTGTGACCAGGCTTGGAATTGGCGTTGGGCTATGGCAAGAGCTGTTCTGAGAACTTAGACAATGTCTGTCAGGGATGGCAATGGGTGATGGGGGAGGGATCACTTGATGAGTCCCTGTTGTTTACATTCCCCCATGACACTGGCATCAGCCACTATCGGAAGGCAGAGTACTGGGCTAGCTGGGTTTTTGGTCTGACCCACTCTGGCCTTTCTTATGCCTGTTAGGGTGTGAAACGAGGCTTACAGAATCTGCCAACAAAGGGTTCTGGGGTTGACAGATTCCCATCTAGACTGCCGTGCTGTGCCAACAAACAGCTGATCGGCACAGCGCGGCGGCCATTTTGATGTAAATGAAGCGACGATTATTTAAATCGCCACTTCATTTCCCTTTGCTGAGTAAACTCATCTACATGGCTCCGTCGACGGAGCCATGTAGTCTAGACACACCCTTAAAGTTGAACAGCTTATGCACAAAGATAGTGAGCCACGGAGAAAGCTTGATTTTACCCAGAGAGAGGCTCCAGATATGCCTCTGTCAGGCTGTGGATAATGGCTACCATGACTCAAAAGCATGCCAGGGCATGTGACTGGATCACATAATGGATCACTCCATTCCCACAAACTGGGCTGGGAATTTGGTGTGGAACAAAGAGGCACCCACCACGAGCACTGTGTGAAGAACTTCTTCCTAACACTGTTTAGCAATGAGGCTTGTTGCACTGGATGGAAGGGGTATGACCCTTTTCTACACGCATCTCCTCCTGTTCACTGGCCCAGTATGAGATTATTCAACATAAAGGAAGCCTTGTGACATTTTACATGACTCTGGGAGACTAGGCCTGAGGTTCCTTGGTGTGCTCTGTGTTGTGTGTCAGGGTGTGCACCTCAGACCAGACCATCTCAGACAAACTACCAGGAACAGGCTTTATTTTATACAGAACACCGAACTGGATTCCTGTCTTGCAGCCTCCCTTCTGTTTGCAGCTTAGTCAGGGCTGAGACCCTCTGGGGGCGGGTGGGGGAAATGGGGTGCAGAGGGAACATACTGGAAGGGAATAAGAAGTTCTCCCAACATACTGCAGCTTTTCATTCAAAATGGTAGATCCCAAGGCTGCTTCTAAAATACACTGAATCTTGGGCTACGTAACCATCCCAGTTTTCAGTAACTAAAGGGTTAAACCCAAAACAGCAGGTAGGTAACAAGTGTTGGCAGGGAGCCAGGAGAGCGAATGGGAAGAGAGAGAAATATTTTTTAAATGAAATAAGTTGTTGTGTGCTTCATTCTCCTTTGTGTGGGAGACAGAGCAGAGTTGGCAGAGAAAATGGTCTGAGCTACTATAAAGCCTGGATTTCCCAGCAATATCCATGTCTAAGAAAGAAGCCTAAACAATAGAGAAGCAGATGTAAGTAGAACAGGAAATGTTTAATTATACGCGATCAGGTTATTTTCTTTGTTGTTGTTATTTTGTTTGGTTGGTTGGTTAAACTTCTCTGTGCTAACCCCCCCCTGCACACAGTAACTGAAACTGAAACCCAGGAGAGCAATTCTCTATGCTTTAATCTTTTCTTGTTTGTTGTCGCTGCTCATTACCATCTAGCAACCAACTATGTTTTACGAAGGAGGCCTTCTTTGTTTTGTTAATAAATGTCCCTTTTTTAAGACTATGATCTGATTCCTGTGTCCTAAAACGCAGGAAATTCTGTGTGCATGTGCCTGAGACTGAAGGTCTGCTATTAAGAGATTACAGTTTGGTTTTAAGCTCTCTCCTAAGGGAAGGTTGAAGAGCTTGCTGTTACATAAAAAGCCATATGTAGGCCTGCAGTGGTTAAATCTGTATTCCTCTAGGCCAGCCATGAGCCCTGCTGGTGAAGATATCAGATGTTCTTTATCATACGGCCTTTATCAGCCACGATTCCCTATGCTTGCTAGCTGAGAGCTGAGTATGGGATAAATAACATGACCTCGGTTCTCAGCCCAGTTGGAATGTTCAGAATTCCACTGGGACAACTCGGGCACACCTGGTAAACAACTGGGCTGTGTCTAGACTGGCATGGTTTTGTGCAAAAGCAGCTGCTTTTGCACAAGATCTTGCCGCCTGTCTACACTGTCTGCGAGTATTTGCGCAAGAACACTGACTTTGTAATGTACAAAATCAGTGCTTCTTGCGCAAATACTCCGACGCTCCCGCTCAGGGATAAGCCCTCTTGTGCAAGTATTCTTGCGCAAGAGGGCCAATGTAGACAGCCACGTTAATTTCTTGTGCAAGAAAGCCCAATGGCTAAAATGGCCGTCAGAGTTTTTTTGTGCAAGAGAGCGTCTACACTGGCACGGATGCTTTTGTGCCAAAGCAAATCTTTTGCGCAAAGACACATGCCAGTATAGACGCTCTCTTGCGCAAATACTTTTAACGGAAAAACTTTTCCGTTAAAAGTATTTGCGCAAAATCATGCCAGTCTAGACTCAGCCCTGTAGTATAACTACTGTTGGGAATCTCATGCCCGCTGAGTCTCACCAGGGACCTAGACCTCAAAGGATGCCTGGGTCCCCCAGATGGAGCCATGTCCACTGTAGCCTGGTGTGAGGTGTCTAGAATGGGGCTCCCTGCACACCTGAAGAGACATAAGCATTTCCCAGTACCTGTTACTCTTTTATGCATTGCACTGCCTGTGCTTATTGGTGTATTACTTTGCAGTACCTATGTAACCATCTGGAAGTATTAAGTCTGTAATTGTAGTGACATAGTGAGATTAATAAAAGCAACTATCCCTAATCAACTCTATTCTAAAGCAAATCCACAACCGTATTGGACTCTGCCCCTGTGAGTTGACACTTGCATTTACCCCACAGGAAGAATTGCCCAAGTGCTTCTTCCTGGCTGTCAAGGGAGCTTTACATTTGGGTGGAGGCAGCGAACCATCCAAGGTCAGGGAGTCTTTGATTGTGGGAAGCTTTTTGGAGCAGAAGTCTTTAGGGGCCTGGTTCTTTAAGGTCTCTTGCAGGTCCCCACCTTCTGTACTCAAAGTGCCAGAGTGGGGAACAGCCTTGACCTAGCAGAACCCCCTTTGGTGAGGGAGTTCCGGGGCCCTCCTGCAGCTCAGCAGTAGGGGGGAACCCAGGACATGCTTTCAGATTTAAAAGTGTCTGGCGAGTGTTGCCTGGCGTAAGAGACCCCCGCCTGGCTGCCCTTCCATCTGATCCAGGTCTCTACCTACTCCATGAGTAAGGAGGGCTGCTCTAACCTGAGAAATAAGCATCATACCCCACGTCTAATTTTCCATCACCACCAAATTTTAGCTGAATCTGTGGGAGTGACGTGGTTCAGATCAATAAAGAACAGGCAACAGGCATTTGGAACTGGGCATGGGTCACATGTCTTCATCTTAATGATGTTCATGGCCTTGCTTATCCATTCTGTGCATGGGGTTAGAATGGTTGTAGGACACCAAATCCCTGTGGGGAACCATTCATTCTCTACTTTCCCTTGGTTCTGGGGTTTGGGACAAAGATCAGGGCTTCACTTGGGTCCCCCAACTCCTGCCCTGGCCAACTGAAGGATCTGAGACATCTCACAGTGGATCTGGCTCCCTGGGGAGCTCTTATCACATGGCTTTGGCTTCTGGCCTGGAGTGAGGGTGGAGCCTCAGGTAAATAGGAGGTGTAGTGGGTAGGGCCTTGGAATAAGAGGTGGGGCAGAGGGATAGGCCTCGGGAAGAGAGGAGCAGAGGATGGGGCCTTGTGGTGGAAGACACGGGGAGAGGAGTCACCTCAGGGAATGGACTACTGCCTATAGACTGCTGTGTGTTGAAAACTGCAAGTTGTGCAGTAGTTGGAGAGATATAGACTGTTTCCACCTCTTTCCCCCCAGAAGCTAGGACAGCACAGAGGGGAGGAGGAAGGAATGTGGCCTGAGTCTCTTGCCAAGCCTTTCTTGTGTCAGATGTTCACTCGCTCACGCAGAGCAGCTCTGCCTCAATATGGAGAGGAGTCAGCAGGTGTGTTGTGTGCAGAGCCATCCACAGGGAGCAGAAGGGGCTCCTTGAATGTAGTAAGAAGAGGCCTAAAAGATAAGCTCTTGTATCACAGGCCTGGTGTGAGGCCTAGACTACAATGGTCGAGGCTTTGCTAATATAAACCAAAGCGAAGCTGTGAGCCAGAGGCAGACGTTGGCAGAAACAGGGCTGATAGTGCAGAAACTCTCAGACCTAAGAGGTACTAGGCACAGGCCATGAGCACATTCCAGAGCAATGGTAATAGGACAACATCTTGATACCCAGACACTCCCCACAGATAACGGATATATTGACCCAGGCTCAGAACAGGGTCTAAGGCTATGTCTAGACTGCAGGCTTCTTTCGAAAGAGGCTCTTTCGAAAGCATCTTTCGAAAGAGCCTCTTTCAAAAGATCGCGTCTAGACTGCAGGCGGATCTTTCGAAAGAGAAATCCGCTTTTTCGAAAGAGAGCACCCAGCGAGTCTGGATGCTCTCTTTCGAAGACGGCCTCTTTACATTGAAGAACGCCTTCTTTCGAAAGAGGAATTTTCGAAGGAAGGCGTTCTTCCTCGTGAAACGAGGTTTACCGCCATCGAAAGAAAAGCTGCGTTCTTTCGAAATAATTTCGAAAGAACGTGGCTTGAGTCTGGACGCAGGGGAAGTTTTTTCGGGAAAAGGCTACTTTTCCCGAAAAAAACCCCTGAGTCTGGACACGGCCTAAGAGAACAGTATGATGGATGAAGATGTTTTGATTGAGCTACCATGGACAAGGTAATGGATGGTAGCTAGATACCTCAGAAGATGGCAAGCTGATATGTCAGGAGTGATGTGTAATTGGTTCGTGCCTGTGTATAAATGTGACCCTTCCTTCCGGTGGAGCCAGCTGCAGCCAGGATCTGGTTCAATATTTAGGAGTTTCTCTCCATCCATCCAACACAGAACTGGCTCGAGCCGTCACCCAATAACCTGGAAAATTCACACAACACCCTTGGGTGCCTCTGAGAGGCAATGCTTTCCCACTCGCAAGCATGGAGTCTTAGAGTAGAAAAGAAATCTAATAAAAGGAAGGGAAGTACTAGGGCATTAATTTGGAAAAACACCACAAACAGGGCTCATAAACAGAACCAGGAGTTACCGTTCCACCCCAAGTAGGCTGGGCAATGCCCCTTTTCCTCTCAGGTTCTTAAGTCCAGTCCCCTTCACATGCCCAACCCTCCTCTGCTCACTTCCCTTGGCCAGAGCCAACCCAGAGTTGAGAGGGGCATCCACAGAGTCCCCCTCCCATCCTGAGCAGGGGGAAATAAAGAGGCATCTTACTCACTCCGCTGGCTTTTTGCCATCCGCTTACTCACTGCTCTCTGGCGCCACCCTGTTGGTGGCTCGTCATGCTGCCGTGGCTCTCCTGGCCACTCATCATAGCTCTCCACCTCCACCCTGCAGGCTTCAGTCCCCATCCGCTGCCATCCCTTGTGATTTCAGCTCTTTGCAAGCAGGGGAGAAGAAACACAACTCCAACACCACCAACAGAGGAAAGCCTAGTGAGCTCTGTTCTTTGAACAGCGGGGGAGGGGGAGAACTAGTCCAGGTAGGGGAAGCTCCTGATCAGCGGGTTAGGGGTCACCTCCCCACTTCCCTTCCTAGGGCTCTGAGGGTATGTCTAGACTACATGCCTCTGTTGTCAGAGGCATGTAGTCTAGACATACCCTGAAAGTCTAGCCCCAGCATTAGCAAGGTGCTTTCTGCTAACTGTGAGCCCTTTCCTCTGGAACAATGTAGCGCAGTTCTGCAGTTCTGTGCTCCCACGACATGACAAGTGATGTGTAATTTGTTCGTACGTGTGTATAAATGTAACCCTTCTGTCAGATGGAGCTGGTCTTTGACATGACCCTGGATGAAGGCCTATGGGAACGGAGTGTGCTGATGCCCCTAAAGCTGCCCTACACACAATGGTTTTAGCACTCATGGCTTGTGGAGCATCCAGAGAGCTCAAAAAGGGCCAGCATTGTGACTGCAGAACCGCTCAGCAGCTTCATTCATATCCCCAGATCTTTAACTAGCCAAGGGAGAGTGACAGGCCAGAGTTAATGGACAGCAACACCCATGTCCCTTGTCTTTGGGGACTGAATTGACAGGAACTCTGAGGTCTGACAGCATTGTTGTTTAACATCCCAGCAGTCCCCTGGCTCTCCATAAACACGGTCATTTTGTGAATTCTGCTGCCTGTCCCGATGCCCTTCCCTCACTGAACTGTGCTCTGTTACCAGCCCTCCTCACTACTCCAGGTCTTAGACCCCATACGGACTTCTCTCTGCACGGTGTAGGTCAGTAGCTATTGTTGTCGTGGATGTCCAGGACTGATAGATGTCAGTGGCCAGAGTTCTTCATTTCCCATGCCACCAGCACGGGAGGCTGGTGATGAGCTGCCCTTTCATTTGATGAACACTTTGATGATCCTCACACGCAGGTGTTTGCTTTTCACACTGTAGACAATCGGGTTCATCAGGGGTGGGACCAGCAGGGTCATATAGCCCAGGAGAACTTGAAGCAAGGGAGAAGAGCCCTTCCCAAATCTGTATATCATACTCAAGCTGATGTCTGGTGTATAGAAGAGCAGGACTGCACAGAGGTGGGAGATGCAGGTGTTCAGGGCTCTCAGACACTCTATGGGGGATGTGACACTCATCACTGTACTGAGGATCATCACATAAGAGAGGCAGATCAGTGCTGAGTCCAACCCCATTGTTAAGAGTTTGGCTGACAAGCCATAGATGATGTTGACGGTGATGTCTGAACAAGCCAAATTCATGACGTCCTGGTGCAGGCAGTAGGAGTGAGAGAGGATGTTGGATCGACAGTATCGGTAGCGTTTCAGGAGAAAGGGGAGTGGGAATATTACAGCTGCCCCTTTTGGCACAAACACCAGCCCCATCTTGGCTATTCTCGGCAGGGTTAAGATGGAAGTGTATCTCAGTGGGTTACAGATGGCAATGAAGCGGTCAAAAGCCATCAGCAAGAGCATAGATGATTCAGTGCATTGAAGAAAGTGGATGAAGAACAACTGGGTAAAACAGGCATCCAGGCTGATCTCCCTAGAGTTAAACATGAATATGCCCAGTATTGTTGGCATGGTGACTACGGATAAGCCAATATCTGTGATGGCCAACATGGAAAGGAAAATGTACATGGGCTCATGGAGGCTTGGGTCTGTTTTTATAAAGAATATGATTACTGAATTTCCTACTATCGAAATAACATACATGAAGCAGAAGGGGACAGCAATCCAGAGATGGAAGTCTTCCTGCCCAGGTATCCCAGTGAGATGGAACATGGCATGTGTGGATTTGGTATCATTGACAGCTGACATCATGTACTGGGGAGTTTAGACTTTTCGTTCCTGAAAACAAAAAGAACACAATACAAGACAATATTTAACGAGACATCTTTCTACTCTCACTGGAAATCTATAGAATCCCAGCACTTCGGGGAAGGTTAAAAAGAAACTATAATCTTGGATTTACACAACTGATAGGACATTGGGCACTGACAGACTAGAGCAAACCTATAGTATCTAGTTCAGTATTCAGTGAAAGGTGGAAGAAGTCATGCTATATGTGACTCTTAGAGAGAGTTTGCCTCGACATCCACTAGTTAGGTATTTTCTGATGTAAATCAGGAAGGTTTATATTCCTTACAAGAGTTTTTAGAACAATCCTCGCTACTATAAGGGTACGTCTAGACAGTAACGCTATTTTGGTTAACTTCCAGTATCCCAAAATAGCTATTCCACATCTTTTAAGCAAGCCCATTATTTTGAAATATAACGGGCTCACTCTTCTGATGCCCCTGTAAATCTTGTTCCACAAGGATTAAGGGACATTTAAGGGACATTTTGAAATAGCAGTTTGTAGACAGTGCCAAATTACAAAATAAACTATTCAGAAATTGACTCAAAATAAGTTCTACAATTTGCATAGCTCAAACTGCGTAGCTTATTTTGAGCTAAGGGTGCAGTATAGACACACCCTAACTGGGTTTTCTGGTTATCTATATAAACATCCAGTCCCTTTTTGAATCCTGCTAAGCTCTTGACACCATTGGTATCATGTGGCTGGGAGTTCCACAGCTTACTTGAGTGTTGATCGATTTTAGAATTATGGCCTTCTCTCAGACACCTTGCTGGCCCTCTCCCTCTAAGTACGGTGCATTGTATCATGACGTGTGTAAACATGGGAAGTGCATCATGAAAATTGTTACAGATAGGCTACGTCTACACTGGCCCCTTTTCCGGAAGGGGCATGTTAATTTCAGCTATCGTAGTAGGGAAATCCGCGGGGGATTTAAATATCCCCCGCGGCATTTAAATAAAAATGTCCGCCGCTTTTTTCCGGCTTTTAGAAAAGCCGGAAAAGAGCGTCTACACTGGCCCCGATCCTCCGGAAAAAGCGCCCTTTTCCGGAGGATCTTATTCTATACTTCAGAGTAGGAATAAGATCCTCCGGAAAAGGGCGCTTTTTCCGGAGGATCGGGGCCAGTGTAGACGCTCTTTTCCGGCTTTTCTAAAAGCCGGAAAAAAGCGGCGGACATTTTTATTTAAATGCCGCGGGGGATATTTAAATCCCCCACGGATTTCCCTACTACGATAGCTGAAATTAACATGCCCCTTCCAGAAAAGGGGGCAGTGTAGACGAGCCCATAGGGTTTTCTGTCTTGTTTTGCTTTGTTTTCTCCCTCCTAAGGATCTAAATTGTGCCATTGCTCCTATACAGAACAGGAAATAAATTTAGGGCCAGTTTCATAATTCAATAACATTGAATTCAGCAGCATTTCTCCTAATTTCTCCTTATTTCCATCTCTGAATTTAAAAAGGCTCTCTTAACTCTCACCTTACCAGATGCTCCCGGTGATACACTCTGACTCCCGGGAATTCCTGCAAGAGAAGCTGAGATGCTTTCCCTGGCCAGTATTGATTGAATCCAGAGAGTTCAATCACACTACAGGTTTCTCTTCAATGTCATAGGACACTCCCCATGCAAGGGTGTAACACAGAAGGGCAGTGTCTGCATCACAGATGGATGAATAGTGGAAACCCTAGCTTTGCATTAGTATCCATTTGTGTATCAAGTGCTTTCACGCACACTCATGTAATAGATGGCCAAGTCTTAAATACAATCACTATTACACTCCTCTTTCCTGAATCTCATGTGTCCTCTTCACTGGAAAGCAGGCCAGCAGTTCTTCTTACCCAGGGGCTATGTCTAGACTGGCACGATTTTCCGCAAATGCTTTTAACGGAAAAGTTTTCCGTTAAAAGCATTTGTGGAAAAGAGCGTCTAGATTGGCACGGACGCTTTTCCACAAAAGCACTTTTTGTGGAAAAGCATCTGTGCCAATCTAGACGTGCTTTTGCGCAAAAAAGCCCTGCTCGCCATTTTCGCAATCGGGGCTTTTTTGAGCTGTCTACACTGGCCCTTTTGCGCAAAAGCTTTGTGCAAACAGGACTTTTGCCTGAACGGGAGCAGCATAGTATTTCCACAAGAAGCACTGATTTCTTACATGAGATCGTCAGTGTTCTTGCGGAAATTCAGCCAGCCAGTGTAGACAGCTGGCAAGTTTTTCCACAAAAGCAGTTGCTTTTGCAGAAAAACTTGCCAGTCTAGACACAGCCAGGATGTTTTGGAAAGACTTGCAAAGATACTGCAGAGGGATGCTGTTCATGACACTGAATTTGAAGGACAAATGTATGAATAAATCCAGTTCTTGGGATGTTTGCTATACAGCTACATTGCACTAACTATTGGGACATTTAACTGATAGGGTGGTTAAACACTGGAATAAGTTGCCTCTGGAGGTTGTGGGTTCTCCATCTCTGGAGATATTTATTTAAGAGCAGGTTAGACAGACAGTGTTAGGTCCTGTCGTGAGGACTCAATAACCTCCCGAGGTCCCTTCTAGTTCTAGTGTTCTATGATTTCTAGTGTGGCTATATTAGAGAAAACCAGACTTGCTCTTTACAGTTTACCTGCTGTAAATGGAAGTAACAGATGAAGGACAGCCATCCCTCAGTACACACTTCCGGGAAGCTGAGAGATGCCTTTGTCTTGGCTCCTTGCTCTGCCAGCACTGGGAGTCTGTCTGGGGGTGGGGGGGGGAGAAGGGGGGGG